AATACATGCTCAATGAATGGAAATTTTGAGAATAATTCATAGTGCCTACTAATGTTCTATACTCAGAAAAAGGATTTATGCCAGGTGTTCTATCAAGAGAGCAATGTAAGAAAATAAGCGATAGGTATTTATGTTTTCCCAACGGTACAGATTCTATTTCTGTTGGTGTTGGTGCAAGATATGGTGGGTAATTACGATTTGGATCTGATTTACATAATTGGCATATTGCAATACAATTTGTTGGTGAGATGGGATTTGTAACTAATAGTGTATAGTTTGCGAGAGGGTATGAAATAGAAGAGTCTTGTTGAATCCAACTTGATTTTTTTGGATACATGAGCTTTGAGCAAATAGAACAGGGAACACATGGGAATTGAGACAAAATAGTATTTTCGAATTCAGTCATTATTTCTTTCATTTTTGTAGATGCAATCCACAGTGTTACCTCTGTTTGAGGTAGATTGTTAGTTAAATTAACTTGATTAACGAATTGCAAAGCATTGTTGTTTGAAGATGATAAATCAATTATTTGTTCGTTATATTCTAGATTTTCAATTTCAAGAATTTTATATACGTTAAACGACATGTTTTATTTGTTTTTTAAGAGAAGTGAATTATTAAACAATTGTATTATTTATTTCTTATTTGCATTGTTATAAAATTGATTTAAATAATTATAATAAATTATTGTTTGTTAAGTTTTGAAATTTCAAACTATTTTATATTTTTTTGATGTCAACTTTGTATTACGAGAAAAGATTCTTTCAGTAAAGGTTAAAATTCGACATGTTAAATATCATTATTGATCAACTAATATTTTAACATAATATTTAATGATATTTATTTATTCATTCATATTAAAAAATAGCAGTAAGTTAGTAAAATTTAACAAGTCGATTTTGCTATGTTATTCAAGCAAGTATTGTATGCGTAATTCTTATATGATCATTTAATTAAAATGATCAGCTGACAATAAAAATCGATATTATAATTATGCGTATTATTTATGTATCGAATTGATTTTTTCTTTTTTCTTTCCTTATTATTATTTTTTTTAATAAATAAAAATAGTGGTAAAATGGTAATATTTAATATGTCAAGTATCGTATGCATAATTATTACATAATCATTCAATTATAGTGATCAGCTGATGATAAAATCACATTATAATTATGCTCATTATTTACGTTCATATGGATTTTTTATTTTATTTTTTTCTTTATTATTATTATTTTAATTTTTAATAAAAAAATAGCAGTAAGATGGTATGTCGATTTTGCTGTTATGTTATTTAAGCAAGTATCATATGCATAATTTTTACATGATTACAGTGATTAGCTGATGATAAAAATCGTATATTATATTTATGCGTATTATTTTTTGCACGATATTTATTAAGAAGTGTTTATTTACAGTTTTTTATTTCTAAAAAAATTCAAATGATATACAGTAGAATCGTTCTTAATTAGAAAAATAAAAAGAGGGTAATATAATAATAAGAAATAAATAATAATAATAAGAAATAAATATAATAATAAAAATAAATATAAGAATATATAAGAACAAATATATATAGACAATCGAAATCTAATACGTATCCTTTTTTTAGTTATCTTAAATAATTAAAAATAGATAATTAGATGAATTAATTTAGTACATTTTTTCTATTGGTAAAATAATTAAATAATGAATTAATTTAGTACATTTTTTCTATTGGTAAAATAATTAAATAAAAAAAATAATAAATACGAATATTGAAAATTTATACTTATCTATTTTTTTTCAGTGTTATTAACTAAGGAAGTTGTTTGCTCAGATGTATTTGAATTTTGATTTAAAAATTTATTTGATAAATCAGTAACTTTAGGACAGATAGAATGAAAATTAGGTTTAGAATATGGTTTTGTGGTAGGAGTAATTTTTTTATAACAAATACTTCCTTTAACTCTAGATGCGATGGTTTGAGCAATATTGGTCAATTTGTTTTCGTCATCTTTATCTTTATCTTTAGTTTCCCAAGTAAGATGAATCGAATCTCTAGCAGATAAAATCGAATTTTGATATTCAGGGAAAGAAATGCTTCGAATGTGAACTATGTTAGCATTGTCAGTTATCATAAACTCTCCGTTGATGTAAATTACTGAATGTTTTTTTACAGAAATGTCAAGCGTATACAGAATAATAACACATCATCTCGATATTAATATAGTCTTGATCAATAAAATTTTTAGATGAAACCTTTATGGTTACATCTTCTTCATCAATTATTGGTTCTTCTTGAGCCACTGCTGTCATATTGAGCAATATCAGAAAAGCAGGTATGTTATTAGGATCAATATCATTAAAACAAATGATATTATTTAAGACAATCTATATAATACATAATGTAAGCATTTATGATTATATTATTTATTTTTAAGAGAAAAAAGCATTTTTTCATAACTTACTTTTAATATTAGATATTTTTTGTTATCATTATCTATATTTTCAATGATACGAAAATTTCTAGTTACAAGTATTACATCTCCATTCTCAAATTCAGGTAAACTTAATTCTTGAATTGTATTAGTCAGGTAAAATCTGATTAAGATAACATTAAGAGGAGAATTTAAACTTCGAGATCTTACAATACCCGAAGTTTCAATGATTATAAGATCTTTATTGGTAAATGATTTATGATAATTCGTTATATAATATAAGACAGTAACTGAGGCTGACATTTTTTTTTTTTTAAAAAAAAAATTGGGTGTATAAAAAAATTTGACATTAAATTGATCGGTATAAGTCTTTAAATATTTTTTATTTAAATTTATCAATTTTTTTTTTCAAATAAAAAAATCACGAAATAATTATAAATCACGGACATATTAAAAATGCTTCTTATTTTATCAGCAGTTTTAATTATATAATAATTCAAATAAAAAAATCACGAAATAATTATAAATCACAGACATATTAAAAATGCTTCTTATTTTATTAGCAGTTTTTATTTTATATAAACAAGCATCAATCTCGATAAGTAAAATCTGATGATCGATGCAATATTTTTTACAAAGTCTCGAGTCAAGTAATTTTTCATAAATCAGCAGTTTTCATCATGTTAATTTCTTAGAATAACAATCAAGCTCTTAAACAGGTTAAGTCACACCATTATTCTATGCATTTGAGTTAGTTATCAAATTCTTTCGCTATGGTCTTTTGTTATAAACTTTGGCGATCTGTGATTATCAATTCATCTGTCCTGTAAAATTTCTGGCGAAAAAAAAAAAAAAATTGGTAAAACTTAGAATTAGGTTAATTATTCTTAGCGAAACATGAAAGAAATAGCTGTTTGAAGCTTTTTTAACAACAGCTTACTATTGTGTCAGTATTGTTAAATTTTATCATATGAAATATCAATAGCAAATTCAATATCAATTGCAATTGCAATTTGTTCTTGCTCTTGCTCTTGAACTTGTCTTATAAAAAATGACGGATGAAAATTCCCTTTCTTGGAAATAAAATTTCCTCTCTCGGAATTACAAGAAAATTCTGAGTGTAAATCCAAATTAAATCTAATCCACATATGGTAGAAAGTTGTTACAATCTAACCATATACGATAAAAAATTGTTATAATCTAATCTATACATAACAAAATACTGTTACAATCTGTTCGCAAACATCCATATCACATGATCATATATGGCATAATAATGAAACAAGCTAAATTATAATATCGTTAATAAAGAAAATATAAAAAAAAATTGTATTAATACTAAAATATAATTGGCTGCTATATGTGGGGTCGCCATGGTGACGGGTCTCTAATTTATTTTTGCCATATTTAAGATTATTTTTTTTTCTAAAAAATGTTATTGTTTAACTTTAAACTAATTTATATATATTAGCTAACTAAAATATTAAAAAAGATGATAATAAATTAAAAAATTTTTTTTTTATTAGATAACAAATAGAAATTATTAAACCAATTTATTAATTTGTGCTAATCCTTTAGTCCAATTTTGAAGCTAAAACAAAACATAGAAATAGTATATTTTTAGTCAAAAAACAAGATACACTTTCATAATACAAAGAAATAAAAAAGTTAAACCAAGAGAAGTTACTTAGAATATTCATATAGAAAGTTTAGTCTTTCAACCAAAAGAAGGCTTTAAGAATTTTTTTTAAATTCATCAATATTTTGGAAAATCGGCTTATACTCTGAAATGTCAATCAGTTTCTCAACTAGGGTTAGGGGTATAGAACTTAGGGGCATGCCCCATGGGGGCATGCCCTTTAACCGAAAGGTATGCCTCTATCATGTGATTTTAGATAAAATGTGATTGGCCAATTTATATTAATCAAAATGTATATTAATCTTATATACATAATGCAATTAATATAAATTTATCTTCCCAATTACGAATTAGCTTTTAAAAATTCTTTTACAAATAAGAATAAGCCCGCAGAAAAAAAGGAGTAACTTTCATCAGCAAATTTAATAGAGCATAATATTGTGCAATAAATTACGCTAAGTAAAAAAGTTGTAATGTTATGCAAAAAATTGCGCAATATTGCGAATATATAAATACGAAATATTATGCAAGATTATTACGAAATATAACGTATGATATTGCAAAATATTTTGTAATATTTTGCGCAATATTATGAAAAAATATATCGAACTAATTCGATTAAGATTAAATAAGATTAAA